AAACCCTCTCGTCTCATGTTCCCTGAATACAAAATCATAGAAAAACGCCACTGGGGGTTGTAAAACCCTCTCGTCTCATGTTCCCTGAATACAAAATCATAGAAAAACGCCACTGGGGGTTGTGAAACCCTGCAATGACATGATATCATCTTCACGGACGATACCAATCTTACCGAGGAAAGAAGATTAGATCTCCCTGCGACACCCACAGGCATAAGAAGCGGATAAAATAAAACAAAAAGAAACATGCTGATTATATATATATATCACTAAACAGTCGGTCAGATGTACAATATCGAATAATGAATTAGGTGCAATGTTCTAACATTATTCATACACGTAAATTAATTTAGGTTATTGTATAGTGATAAAAAAAACACCAAAACTCCATAGGTTTAATAAACATGCTGATTGCTTTCCCGGAGAAGAAAAACAAACAAAACACCTTCCTATTAATATGCAACAAAATACGTAAAGCATTTTTGAAGAATGCCTTTGACTTAATGAAGACAAATGTGTTTATTGCATTCAGGTATAGATAAAAGATATTCAGCTTGTTCATTGCGTTGACACGTACGGCACTGCCCCCTTTAACCCTAAAACTAAACTTGTTTTTACACCGTTCACTACCTGTGAGTGGATCTCCATATTGCATCATATTAAATAATTTTATGCTTTTGTCTGATACAGTGAGCAGTATAAAAATTAGCTAAACACATTGGGGGGAATCACTCATTCTCTATGTAAAATACATTATTGGGAACTTCAGCAGCAATGAGTGGGATTAATAGCAATATTCTTGTTTTAACCCATTGACAGCTGACTCGCTGTATAGGGTACGGTATGTTGAATGCGAGTGTGCTGTAAACAATGTAAGGCTCGCAAAAATTTCGCGCGCGCGCGTTTAAAGCAGCCGCAGTGAAAGTATTAACATTTTTTGGTGAGTCGTATGTTATTAGTGATCCTGCAACCACAAGGTCCCGGATCTACAAAGAACTTGGCATATAAATGGTTTAGAAAAACGTGTTAAAAAGAGCCCAGAAGTTTCCAACGTTTGTTCGTTCGTTTTTGTTTTTTTTTAGAGTATTGTTTGTTTGTTTATTTTGAATTTCGCGCAAATTTTTGCGCTAGTCCTCCCTAATTTAGCAGTGTAAGGCTAGAGGGAAGGCAGATAGTCATCACCATCCACCGCCAATTCTTGGGCTACTCTTTTACTAACGAATAGTGGGATTGACTGTACATTATAACGCCCCCACGGCTGAAAGGGCGAGCATGTTTGATGTAACGGGGATTCGAACTCGCGACCCGCATATTGCGAGCCGAGCGACCATGCCGGGCCTTTTAGAATAAAACCACATTGGGCTATCAACTGTGTTCACTGCGGGGAATCGAACACCACATTTTAGCGATGTAAGCCGGTAGACTTATCGGTGTTCCACCGGGGAACAGGTCCCAAAGTAATTATAGTGTTAAAACTTTCATTCAGGACGTAGAACTCATTTATTTAATCTTTATGACTACAGAAAATGTGTTTATTGTGATATTAAATGCTCTTCATAGCCATAACCAGTAGTTACACTGTGATATTAAATACTCTTCATAACCATAACCAGCAGTTACACTGTGATCTTAAATGCTCTTCATAGCCATAACCAGTAGTTACACTGTGATATTAAATGCTCTTCATAGCCATAACCAGCAGTTACACTGTGATATTAAATGCTCTTCATAGCCATAACCAGTAGTTACATTGTGATCTTAAATGCTCTTCATAGCCATAACCAGCAGTTACATTTTGTAACTATTATAACTTCTTATAACTGAGAATATATACATCAAATGATTATGAAGTGTAGCATACTTCTAATGTTATGAACATTTTACCTTATTAATGATGTTTCCCATATTAAATGTGAAGATATCTAAAAGTAAATTGTGTTTGATATTTACAACATGAACGGTACATTATGCGACACATTATTTAAACGACCAGGCAAGAGACCCAAAGGTTCAAACATAGCTTTTCTTAAGTTAGAGCTACTGACCAAAAGGAGGGAAACCACCCAGCACTTAAACAGTTACTCTTAACCAAATAGTCGGGTTGCCGGGCCCTGAAAAAATAGAGCAAAACGTAAAAAATATATACTTATAAGATTTTTGTGTGTGGAAGAAATGAGCTTTCCAATAATTCCCGTTTAGGATTAAGACTGATGCCATATAGTTGTTACTTTAAATGTCAGAAGACTGGTCCGTTTATTATTGGAGGATAAGCGAGGATAAAGAAAATCATCGCATTCAGCGTTGATTGGAAAAACATTCTTCACATAGAACTCCAATAAACACTAGAAAAATATTCCAAACTAATAATATCATATCAAAATACCTGTGTCTCAAGCTATAAATCAAAATTACCAGTGTTGAATACAGACTTTTCTATCGAAGGGGGGAGCTGGGGGTGGATGAATTAAAATTAAAATTCGACAAAATAGAAAATACCGTACTTAAAGGGGAGATTTGTTTGCACAGGGGGAATTGCCTCCCTACGAACCCCTTGAATTCAACACTGCAAAATCACACATTTCAGTTCTGGATGTCAGAGATCGAACAGGGAGCCACTAAAAAAAAATGACGACCTGAGTACTCATCCATTGACATTTGTGGTAATAACTACTTGCCAAAGACCCTACAAATCCAAACATGTTGGGAAATCTTGTTCAGTCCAAAACTGTGGAGGTAAAGCAGCACATACTAAAAGCATACGTCGAAGAGGAGATGATCCGAGATCAATATTTCATTCTAGGTCTTGCTGTCAGCTTTCTTTTTCTCATTTCTCCTTTTTTTTCTTCTTTGCATCTCATTCTCTCAACATTCCTCATCAAAAACGTCCCTTTTTTTTTCAAATCCTCCCTTGAAATATTGCGCTTCCCACTCAACCCTTTCGGTTCAATGTAAAATAAATAAAACATCCCATATCAACTATCTTGTGGCGCGTGAAGTAATTTATGCAACCTGAGGCATGAAGTTAAACTCTTTCTTACGTTTGAGGTAACTTTACAGTCAATTACTAATAACTTTAGAATTGTTTTTTGTTTTTTTCTGGCAAAACGAACACTCTCCCCGACGTGGCACTTCGGAGCAAAAGACAAACAACGGTCACTTATAAAATTTTCTTTCCGTTTCACCATTGCCACTGTTAGAAAGCGTGGCACACGGACACAGTATTTAAACAAGTGCTCACTAATATCGTACGTGTTCGCTTTCACTTCGCACAACACTTGGGTACACCGAAATAAATATTCTAAATCCTGATTGCATAACTAAAAAAGTGGAGTTTGATGTTTTTATTCTGGTATCTTGGCACCAGAAGTACACTTTTCATGTACTAACGTATTTACGACCAAATTTAAAACAGACTTCTAGCATTAAAAAAAAATCAAACAAACACTGTCATGCCGACTAAGCAAAAAAAAAAAAACAACAAATAATTTTTTTTATGATTTTCGTATTCATCAACAGGATTACAAACAGTGAGACGAATCGCTTTTTATAACGCTCCTACGGATGAAAATACCCAGCGTTCTCAGCGGCATATTGCTGACTAGAACCTTGGACCTTTCGTTCCACAGTCTAGCATGCTAACGACTACGTCACGTCCGGCCCAATAAAATAAACACGTCTTAAGTAAAATTTATTGCTTGTATTGATGTTTTGATAGCGCTATCTATCGGATTGTTTGATAAGTTTCTTAACCTACCATATCATACCTTACCTTTTCCTGCAGTTTATTTGGTTGTTTCTCAGCACAGAACTCTTTCCACACAGTGTCACTGTCTTCATCTGTTACTGCAGCTCGACAACGTTCCCAGACGTTCAAATCTACCGGTTTCTACAAGAATGAAAATCACTTACTATGAATTTTAGCAACATATCATACTCTAGATTGTTTACCGGTTTCTAAAGCAATGAAAGCCGCCAATTAGGACTTTCAGCAACGTATTCTACTCCAGATTTTTTATTGGTTTCAACAGCAATGAAAGATACCAACTAGGACTTTCAGCAACGTATCCTACTCTAGATTGTTTACCGGTTTCTAAAGCAATGAAAGACGCCAACTAGGACTTTCAGCAACGTATTCTACTCCAGATTCTTTATTGGTTTCAACAGCAATGAAAAACACCTTCTAGGACTTTCAGCAACGTATCGTACTCTAGATTGTTCACCGGTTTCTACTGCAATGAAAAACATCTTCCAGGACTTTCAGCAACGTATCCTACTCTAGATTCTTTATTGGTTTCATCAGCAATGAAAGATACCAACTAGGACTTTCAGCAACGTATCCTACTCTAGATTCTTTATTGGTTTCATCAGCAATGAAAGATACCAACTAGGACTTTCAGCAACGTATCCTACTCTAGATTCTTTATTGGTTTCATCAGC